ATGGAAAATTCAATGGAAACTGGACTTCTTCGGGACTTATCTGGATTATGTATATGGTCCTACATTCTTGTTTCGACTGTGGTACGGGGTACAACAAACAAAGGAACCTCAAAATCATGTTGGTAAGTATTCCGGCTTTTACAAAATCATATTATAGGTAATATGTCAGGCACCTGTAGTACTTCCTTTTTACATTCTGCTCCTGTTTCTTCTCCTTTTCTTGTTTTAGTGGTGGTGCGATCTTCTTGTTGCTATCTATACCATGGAGATAATCATCAGAACCCTATTCACCATACTCGTCGCTGTTGCTATGAGCGTCGCTGTTCTTACCACTTACCATGCTGTAAATAGTCCTCATTGCCATTTCTGCTGTTACTATCGGGACTCCTGCCTCTACCCCTGCTACTATAGAGTATCACTACTAATTACATCAGGTTCTCTACCCTAAGCAGCAAGAACACGAAGAAGTGCAACTAGTCTAGATGGGGGGGCCACTAGAATTAGGGGCATTTTGAGGAAGCCTTGCAATGAGGAGTATAGTATTTGGTTGTCTATATTGGNNATTGGAGTCCCCCTATTTTGCGAAAAAAACTCCTAGATTTGGCGGTTGCACAGGCTGCCAGGTAAAGTGCTTGCCTTGTTGCGCAGCCGCTCAGGTACCGAGAAACTGCAGCCCAAGCTCGTGATTCTGCCACATACCCGGGTTTTTTTGTCTGTATCTCACAGGGCTGCCAGAAGAACTGCCAGCGACTAGACAGGGAAGCGCGAAGAGGGTGCCATGGCCACCACCCACAAGTAGAGCAGATCAGTTTGATCAAGTTTGTAGGCATGCCCATGTCTGTTTTGAGACGGACCCCATGGGCTCAGGCCAGACAATGGCAGGAAGCGGCTGAAAAGGTGACTGACGCTGCCTTGGATTTCCAATGCCTGGCATGTCTTGCTGTCTCATTCCGTTGTCTTTGCCCTCATGTCTGAAGTTCTTTACAGTCTGAGCTCAAGCGCGCTTGCCTTAAAGGGATTAGATAGGGTTTAGGCCAATGATGGAGAATCAGAGGGCAAAGAGCATGAAACATGATATGGCAACTGGGTTTGGGGGAAGGGTCGAAATCGGCCTGGTGCGCTTTCCTGGCATAAAACATCTTGAAAGCGTAGCCCATCGTAGCCCCAAGCCACGATGTCAAATTATGGCTTCTTTTGATATCAGGAACAGGTTCTAAAGATGTTTGGGTGCTCATTGCTTGTCTGTTTGACTGACAAGTACCAGATGCGCTCTGATAATGATTCGCAGTGGCAACACAAATGCGGAACCGTACTGATCCATGACGTTGCGACAGGCTCATGAACGAAGAATAATTCAGAAGGGGGCCCACCTGTTGTTGGCAACTGTGCGTCTGCCCATATGAGCTATTGGCTATAGCGTAAAATCCTTAAAGGGGGGTTATGT